TTTTTGAGAAAGCGCCATACCGCTTTCCACAGGGGTTGCACCATTTTACACTCCCACCAACAGTGAATAAGGGTTCCAGTTTCTCCACAACTTTGCCAGCATTTATTGCTTGCTGTTCTGTTAAATTTTGCTATTTTGACTGGGGTGAGATGATATCTCATAGATGTTTTAAGGATTCTATAATCTTATCATTCCTAAAGAGAAAAATAAACTGTGACAAAGTCTTTTTCTCTGTTTTACATGTTAAGGTTGATTTTAAAAAGCATGATTTGCAAACCATTTGGCGGTGGTCGGTGGGGAGGATAGATTTTGATTATGCCATTGGTAATCTTTTATGGTTCAGGCCTGGAGATGTGATCTCCATGACAGTGGTGTATTTGTAAGAGGGATATTGGACTCAGTATGTTTTTATTTTAAAATGGTTGGTTTGATTGCAACTGAGAAAAAGTTGCCGGTGAATTTGTTGAAAAGAGGAAGAGACCAGGAATGGAAAGAAATGGCAGGTTAAAATGATATTGCAGTTTAATTACAAGGGGGAAAACCCTCCCACCAGTCCTTTCATTCCCATTTGGTACAACATTGTTGGTTCCACCGTTATCAACCTGCTGGGACTGAGTAGAACTCTAAAGGAGCAGATCATCAGGTCTTTCTCCTTGAGAACTACCAGGTGGAATCAGACCACCAACATTTTGATTAAGAACTGACTTGGGCTTTGTGCCACTAGGGCTCCTTTCATCCTATTTTATACTCAAAAGTTGTCTATTTAAGAGCACTTTAAAAAAAAAAAAAACCAAACCTCTTATTTATGAAAATGAATATGCACAAAGCCTTCATTAAAAGTGCTAATTATTAGTTAATTTTATTTGACATAAAAATCCCAAATTAACAATCATTTGGAATAAGGACATTTTCCCATTTGGATGTTCTTTTAAAAAACAGTCAAAACTCAAAAAAACTATTTGCCCTCAGGTCAGAACTGACCTACTACTGGTTAGTTAAACTGCTGAATCTTCCAGCAGGCTTTTCAGCAGGTTGTAAAATGCAGGGGAAGAGATTGCCTGCCTTTGTTTCACTGAGCTACTTGTGGGTTCTGTTAGAGAGGTGCTAGAAATAGAATTATTGTCTTGATCTAGCTTTAACTAGATGACAGTGAAATAGGCAAATTTTTCTGTTTGGGGTCCTTGCAAGTACTTTTCAGAATGGAATTATAATGAAGAAATCAGGAAGTTAAGGAGCTCAACAGAAGATTTCAAAGGGCAGCTTGGGAAGACAAAGCAAAGTATTACAATGAAATGTGTTAGAAACTAGTGTTGGAAAAATCAAAAAGGAAAAACTCATTCAGCATTCCGTAATCTAAAGGAACTAAAGAACAAATTCAAGCCTCGAGTTGCAGTACATAAGGACGTTTGGGGCAAAATATTTGATGATCCAGGAAGCGCCAAAAGAAGATGGAAGGAATCCACAGAGACACAATACCGAAAAGAATTGACACAGAAGAATTTCATAAAACAACATATGACCAAGAGGCAATGGTGATGGAGGAAGATGAAGCTTCTCTGAAGCAATTGGCAAGAAACAAGACCCCAAGAATTGATGGAATACCAAGTGACATATTTCAACAAACAGATGCTGCTCTGAATGTGTTCACCAAGTTGTGCTAAGAAATCTGAACAACAGTTACTTGGCCAATTGACTGGAAGAGATTTATATTTATTCCCATTCCAAAAAAATGATGACCCGACAGAGAGTGGAAATGACAGAGCAGTGTTACTGATATAAAGCCCAAGCAAAATCCTGCTGAAGATTATCCAAAAAGTATTAGAACAGTACATTGGCAGAGAACTAATAGTAATACAAGCTGGGTTTAGAAGAGGTCTTGGAATTAGAGACAATATCACCAAAATCAGATTGATTTTGGCTGAAAGCAGAGAGTACAAGAGAAATAACTGTGTTTCATTGCCTAGACAGAGACATTAGATTATGTGGATCAACAGATGGTGGCTAACCTTGAGAAGAATGGGAATCCCAGAACACTTGATTGTGCTTATGTGAAATCTATACTTGAATCAGGAAGCAGTCATCAAACAGAGCAATGAAACACTGCATGTGTCAAGATCAGAAAAAGAGTGTACCAGGGATGCATTGTCTCCAGAGCTTTTCAGTCTGTGTGCAGAATGGATCATTCAGGAAGCTGGTATCAGGATTGGAAGAAAACTCAGCAACAGGCAGTGTTACATAGATGACACAACCTTGTTTGCCAAAACTGAGGAGGACCGGAAGCATTTGTTCCAGAAGGTCGAGGACTGTAGTTTTAATATGGATTGAAACGCAACATCACAAAAAATGAAGATTCTCACTGTGATAGATGGAGAAGAGATTGAGGTGGTGAACAATGTCAGGTTGCTGGGTCCAGTCAGTACTCTTGGCACTAGCTGTCAGAAAATCAAAAGACAAATAGCATTAGAAATATCTACTGTCAGGGATTTCTCCAGAGTACTGAAGAACAGTTATGCCAGTCTAGAGACTAAGGTGCACCTGATCCAGGCCATGGTCTTTACAGTTGTTTCGTATGCATCAGAGAGCTGGACAGAGACTAAGTATGACAGAAGAATTGATGCCTTTGAATTGTGGTGCTGGATAAGAGTATTGTTCGTACCAAGTCTGCCCCAAAGAAGGTAAAATCAAGTTGTTTCTTGGAGGCAAGGATTTTGAAGCTCCATGTCTCAAACTTTGCACCTGTTGCCAGAAGGTACCAGTCCTTCAAATACAATATTAAACTTGAAAGGGTGGAGGGACAGTGCAGGAAAGGAAGACCCTGGATGAGATGGTTTGACACAATTGGAGTAGTGGGGGTAGGCGTGTCAGAGTCAGTGGCATTGGCTCTGGATAGGGTAGGGTTCAGAGCTATTGTGCCTGTGGTGGCTATGAGTCGCAGATGACTTGGTGGCACATAACAACGATGTTTATTGGCTTATTGTTGGGTTTCTTAAAAAATTTTTCTACTAGTTTATTTACAAAATTCTAATAAATTGTTTTCAAGAACAAATTCAATTTCCCTCATCCCTCCACCCAACAAATTGTACAACCCCATCTTTAATTCCCCGTGCACATCTGTTGCCTACTTATTTATAAAAGATAGGACTTCAAAAATACTGTAAGATATAAAGGTTTTTCTTTTTTATATACTAACTTAGCATATGCATGTAACTATGATGTACACTCACATATATGTCTGTTTACCTAGTGGCTACAGTGGTGGGCTCAAGCAAAGCAAAAGCAGTGAAAATAATGCAGGACTGGGCGGTGTTTCATTCTGTTATATATAGGGTCAGTCTTAACTGGAACCCGCTCGGCTTCATCTAGGAACATAACAGTGTATTTGCTAGTACAGTCAGAGGTGTGTGTTACACAAGTATATACCCATGTGGTGGGATTGCAGTACACGTTTTCATTTTAAATATTGCTAACTAGGACCTCACATGTGTTTTTGAACATTGATTTTTTTCCATATTCTTATAGTATACATTTTCTAGGCCTATTAGTTTTATGAATTCAAGTATTTATTATAAACATATTATATTCATAGTGATCATACCTAAAACCAAATAGTCTGTTCATTTTGTATATTTCTTGACATTTTTATAGTACTTTAATTCTTCCGTAAGTGAAGTCACTGTTTTTATTAATTTGAATATATTTGTTACACATATTTTCAGGTAACTTCTGTATTTCTACCTCTTTTCTCTTGCAGAACACATTAAATATAACAAACAATAACTATTATTCTGTTGAAGTTGAAAACATCACTGCACAAGTTCAATTTTCGAAAACAGTTATTGGAAAGGCACGCTTAAACAACATAACCAATATCGGTCCCCTTGACATGAAACAAGTAAGCCTGTGTCATTAAAGAATATAAAAGAATTAACCAAGAGTCATCTTTGTGTGTCATTATTAACGTGGGAGTGGAGACAGGAGAATTTCTCCAGAACATGACTTTGACATTTATGTCATACACGTATATGTAAGAGTAGCTCTTAGAATCAAGTATATAAAACTCTTTAGAAGTTTTACGTGCATCTTAACTGTTTGATGTTTTTATCTTGTTCTCCATTGATTATTTTGTCTTCCTGCTTTTCAGATTGATTACACAGTGCCTACTATTATAGCAGAAGAAATGAGTTACATGTTGTAAGTTCTGACTTTCAAATAACTTTCTTTACTAAATAATAAAGTTACAGAATAAAGTGTAAAAGATAGGTTCAGTTTTTAATTTTTCAGTATCTTATTAATGAAAAAGACCCACGTCTATAAATACTCTACCTGACCTTTGGTCATATCTATTCATATTTTTACACATGTAATATGATCATATGTTTATTTTCTTTTTTAAGTATTGAAATTTTAGATACCACATCACTTTTCATTTTCACTATTTTATGAGAATCATGATTTCATACTCTTGTTGATTTAGTTTGTTGTTGTTGTTACGTGCCTTTGAGTAACCTGTTGACTTACAGTGACCCTATGTACATTACCTCTGAACTCTGCCCTATTCTGAGCCAATCTCATCATCTTCAGCAGTACTAGTCCCATTTCTGCAGTCACTGAGTCAATCCATCACATCCTGGGTCTTCCACTCCTGCACTGTCCCTCCAACCTCCAAGCATGATGTCCTTCTCTGAGGACTGGTCCCTCCTGGCCATGTGCCCAGAAAGGACTATAAATGGTCTTAATATATAACACTGTATTAATGGTTTGAGACTGTAAAGCTTTTAAAATAGATTTAAGCAGTTATTAACTCTGATTAAGTAGAAATAATAATGTTTCTATTTTTATATGAGCTTCTATTTAGAAATTCAGAGTAACTTAGAATCTCAGATTTGGGGTGAAAAATATAAGTAATTTGTAGACCATGATAAAGTAACTCTTCTTCGAATAGTATAAAAGCATAATTTTATAAGAAATAAGTTTATAAGACCTTGTTGTATATTATAGACAGTAACCATTACTATCTGCCTTAAATAGTTCTAGTTTTTCTAGATTTATCAATTATTATCTGTTGCTTTTGTTTGAAATAAAGAAAATACCATATTTCAATCAGTATTTCAAACACAGAAAATACTTCATAAATACAATACTTGTCCTATTTTAATAGTATCTGTATTATAGGAAGAATGATAATTAACCTGTTGCTTAATAGTATCTATTAGCAAAAAAAAAATAGTATAAGCTTTAACAGAGGAAGAGGCATGTTCAACTATTTTAAACTTGTATTAATTTTTATTCCAATATTTTCTTTCACAGTGATTTCTGTACACTGATATCCATCAAAGTGCATAACATAGTACTCATGATGCAGTAAGTATGAATGATGGAGGTGTTTTGTTTTTTTAAAAAAAAGATTTTTGTGTTAAAACTTTTTATTTATCACATTGTGTATTAACATACACAGCAAATTAGCTTTGTAAGGAGGAACTCTCCTGACCAGCTGGTGGGTATATAATATCCATGTCACACCATTGCATACATGTATTTTACAGACACAGTTCTCTCTATGACAATATATAGAATTAGTTACATATATCTCTGACTCACTCATTGCTATCAAGTGCGAACCAACTCAGCTTACCCTTCTAAGTGGTTTTTTTTCCAGAGACTGTAACTTGCATAAGGGGAGATTACCCATCTTTTTTCTCTCAGAGCTTCCAGTGGATCTGAACCACCAGAGAGGATCAGCCTTTGAGTTAACAATGTCATCTCCAATAGGTTACTCACTCGAGCTCATTGATAAGCATATATAGCTGTATCCATATGCAAGTAGATCATTCACACTCATTGCTCTCAAGATGAACTGACTCTTAGCTGACTGTTGAATTGAGTTTCAGAGTCTGTAAATCACATGCGAGGAAATTGCATCTTTTCCACTTGGAACCACTAGTGGATTCAGACTTGCAGAGAGGATCAGCCTTTGGGTAGTAGCACAAGTCCTTAGACCACCAGAATAAAACCTTAATGCCTCTGAGTCAGAACTGATAGCTAACCCTCCAGCAGGTTTGTAGGAGGTATAAGTTCACACAGGAAGAAATTGCCACCTTTCTCCTGCTCAGCAGCTGGTGGATACAAACCAGGTACCTTGGAGTGGCAGCACAGTTCTTAACACTGAGCTACGGGGGATAATATATATACATAAACAACATCACCGATAAGAACTGTGCTCCTTTAAAAAATTATTCCTACAAGACCAAATGGTCAGTGCCTACCCTAAAGTAAAAACAGGGTGATGAGTGGGCATGGAAACTAGATTACTGGAAATGGAACAAAGAACAGAAATTATCTCTTCCAGAGTGATCAGCAGTGCTGGCCAAGCTATCACTTATCCCACTTTTTAAAATTAAACTTAACGGTAAGAGTAACTCAGTGTAAGATTAGGTAGGAATTAGGAGTTCATGTTAACGGAGGAAGAGTAACTTGAAAAAGGGTGAGAATAGTTGCACTACGTAGAGGATGTAATCGTCACTAAGTCACACGTAAAAGAAACTGCTAAACTGTATGTTTTGTTGTGTATATTCTCAACAACAAAATAAAAATTTTTCTAACAAAAATTGGACATCATTGCTGTGCAATCTTGATAATAAGTCAAAGCTTCCATGCCCTGGCAGTGTTGACAAGCATTTCCAGGTCTTTCGAGAAGGTCCTGGCCTCATGGCCTCCAGCCTGGCATAGGCGTGTCATGTCAAGAAAATTAAATTTCCCCAATCCTGAAATGTGACTATGAGTTGGAATGTACTCAATGATGGTGTGTAAGGAATAAAACATTAAGTTGTTGATTGGATAGTTTGACATTGGGTTGATATTTGATTAACAGTTTTCCTATGATAAGACAAAGGGAGTAACTGTGGAACCTTAGTATATCTTTTACTGGAGATTACTAAAAAAAGGTTATAAAAACTTACTGTTTATTTGGACAGGACTTGTTCATCTGGGATTATTGCAGTTGTCTGTTGGAAAATAATTCCACAGAAGCTTGTTCATGTTCACAATATTAAAGTTTATCGTTAACCTAAGAATCTTACCCTGAAGAAATGTTTATGTTTGTTCTAAGTATTTTCACTTTAAAAACTTTCTAATATAGCTGTTCATGTTTCTGCCTACTTTATTTTCAGAGTTACTGTGACAGCAACCTACTTTGGGCATTCTGAACAGATATCCCAGGAGAGATACCAGTATGTCGACTGTGGAAGGAACACAACTTACCAGTTGGGCCAATCTGAGTATTTAAATGTACTTCAGCCTCACCAGTAGAAACGGAAAGAAATGCAGCTAGAAAAGAAGAAATATGTATTGAAATTTTCAAAACTCAAATATGAGGTACTTTCTGATAGGAGATCTTAAATTGAACGAAGTTTACACTCCTATTTTAAAGGTACATTTGAAAGTACATGAATTTGCAGTTGTAGCAGTTCTCCACTGTGGTGTTAATGATAAATTTTTACCAAGATATTTTACTTGAATCTGAATTTACCATTTCTCCTTTCCACCATAGGGGGAAAGTGAAACTCTCTTTAAGACAATAAATTAAATTATTTAAGACAATAAATAAATTATTTAAAAGTCATTGATCAAATTACTGCTGAAAATATAATTTCCGCAGTGAACATAATTTTATTTCTGAATGTTTTTATCGAGAATTGCTCAAAGTCTAGTATTCATGGGAGACTTTTATAGAATAAGCTTCCCCCCCTGTTTTATAAATTCCCCTTGACACATGGTAGTGTTTCAACAACCTGACATTTTAGCTTTTAGCTAAAAAGTTTCATCTTTTCATTTATTGTAATTCTGCTCATTTGCATGTTTTGCAGTCTTCTTTCAAGCCATTGCTTGTATATTACTTATAAGCCAAAATTAATCTTTGCGGAATTCTATACCTAAAATTTTTAACTCCCCTCAATAATGTTTCATGTCTTTTCATGTCATAGTTTTGTGAAATTTTTCTGTGATCTTCAAAAAGTCTTTTAATGTATAATACTATAAATATGTTGTGCATGGCTTTTATATAGCTTTAATAAGTGTCAGAATGCTCACAGATTCAGAAATTGAAGTACTCAGAAAAAAAAGTAAAATAAAAATGAAATCAAGAAACTTAGAGAGTGTGAACATGGTTCCAATTATATACTGGATTTGGCATAAAGTACATTTAAAAATCACATATTTATGGTCTTTTTAAATGTTGCTTTTTATACTAAAGAATTGTGAAGATCCTTGTTTTCATACCATTAGATACTAAAATCATAACTCGTGAATTTTTTAGAGGAGGAAGTTATTTCTTTTGCTGACATTATTCAGGATCATTAAACCATTGAATGATTCTGGCTATATTGAAGTCAAACTTTATTATTGTGACTGTAACAACTTATTCATTGCAGATAATATAATTACAATGCCTGAAACTTTGCTACTTTCTGTTTTCTTTAAAATTGTTTTGAAGTGTAACATATTGGCATACTGCTTTGCTGTTTAGAATTTTTAATACATTATCAATTTTTCCTTTTTGCTCACTAAATTCCAAGTATCTTTTAAAAATATATCCCTGATCCTAGGGGTGAAATAGTAATACCAAAAAAAGTCAGAGGCTTGAGAGTAATTTCTGTTTCCTAATGAAGAAATCAGGTCCACCCAGGATTTCCCACCCCCAAGTGCCTAACTTAAATCTGAAACGTAACTTATTTGTCACCCTACTTCTCTCAACTAACATATAAACTATATTTAATTATTTAGAGCTAATGAAATACTCCTTTTGCCTTTAAACACACTCAGGTCTTCTCTAAAGCTTTCAGTATCCTTTTCTCCAGATTTTCATCAGCAAATCTTTTAAATGTGTAGACTGTGTTGACTATCTTTTCTTACTTCATTTTCCTTTTATCCATTAAATATCTCATCCAACTTTGTTATTAAACTAAAATTACCACTTTAAATTCTCTACAGGTTTTCTAGTCACACTCAAATATTTTTATTTTTTCTTCTGTTATGCTTAGATAATGACTCATGTGCTTGTGTGTGTATGAATATCTGTACACTTGTCTAATATGTTGATTTTACTTGTATTTTTAAAAAAATCATCATTCCAATTTTTTCCTCTTTCTCTGTCTTTAAGCACCTTATGAGTATGATTAGGTCCCTTTTTGCCTCCTCTTTGTCATCTTGTGACTTCAACAACCATTTATATCTTAAATATCATAAATTAGAGTGTCCATATCTGTTCTTTTGTACCCGATTAGTCACTTATCTAGTTTTACATTTAGCTATTGACCTGTGATAGAGTGTTTTGATAGCTATGTCTAAAATTTTAAATTGTTAATGAGGCTTTATTATGTCCTAATAAATTTCAAAAAGAAAACTTTATTACACTTGATTTAATATAGCATTTAAGTCAGAAAACACTAGAATCAAAACAAAACACAAAACAATGGTGGAGGAAATGACTTATGACAGTTCTGAGAGGGGTTAACTGTGGATAAGCTAAATCAAAACATGCTGCTAATAAATAACACTATAAAAATGTATTCTGATGAGAGCATTACATAGCCATATAAGAAAGAGTAATAGAGATTTTCCCTTTTCTTCTCTTCAATCATTGTTCAATTTCTTTTCTCTAATGGTTATAGGTTAAGTATCATTGCTTTTGTATTATGATGTCAGATGTTATTCAGCAGACATGGTTAAGTATGTTAAACCATTTCTTTCAGATACTTCAAGTAATAACTTTTTCCAAGTATACCTTAATTATACCTTAGATGACTGTTCTTTCAAACTGAATTCAATACTGTAACTCACTGTATTGATAGTGTTGGAGCTCTGGTGGCTTAGTGGTAAGGAGTTGCACCACCAGCCCAAAGGCTTGTGGTTCAAATCCACCAGCTACTCTGCAAGAGAGATGTGGGCAGTCTCCTTCTGTGCAATTTATTGCCTTTGCAAAACTCATTGGAGAGTCAGCTGTGAGTTGGTTCCTACTCAGTGATACAAAACAAATATAGCACTTCCATTTTCTTACCTCCTGTGTATTTTCTTGCACAGTTCTTTCCCCCAAGTTTTATGAGTCAGACAAGAGGATGTTACAAGAGGAAGGAAGGATATGAAAAAGTTGGAGGACTTGGTTATAAGTCGTTTCATTGGGGAAGGTCTAGTTTTTCTACTCCTGTATCTGCTTTATCATTTAAATTCTACATTTATAGCCCCACTTCCCTCAGGTTAGTATAATTAAAAATTAGGAGAATTCAGTGTCAGTAGTTGGCACTCAAGAATATACTAATACACAAAGATTTTGATAGCTATAGGCTGGTTATTTAAAATTTTGTAAATGGAGAATAAATACGTATTAAAATATGTTGAAGCATAATGTATGACAATTTTCTTTTCATATTTATTCTTCTATCATTTCCTTAATATGACATGTTATCAGAGAAAATTCTAGAAACTGAAAAATTGAAATTTGAAAACAACAGTATAAAAATAGTAGATACTTAAAAAAATGCCATAAAATTATTAACGTCACCACCTTTTTTTCTAATCTGTCATCTTTAAACAATTGTAGTCCAATTTGCATACAGTTCTATAAGCATTTCGTGTTTGTTCAGTCTAACAACATAATTATTTTATTTAAAAGTTTGAAGAATGCACAACACATTTCATCTCGTCTGAATTTTAGTTTGAAAATTGCATGATTAATTGCTAAAATAGAAGGTGTCTGCCAAATGAGAATGAAAATAACTAAGAGACTTGAGGGTTCATGCTTAGGGAACAGTTATGGAACTTACCCTCGTCGCAGGGGAGCTCTGGTGACTTACTGGCAAGGAGCTGCAATGCTAACCCAGAGGCACACAATTTCAATCCACCAGTTGCTCCGTGTGGGAGAAAAATGGCCAGTCTCTTCCTGTGCAGTTTACTGCCTCTGAAAATCTACCGGAAGATCAGCTATGAGTCGATTCCAACTTGACAGTACCTAACAACAGCAGCCACGCTCATGATTATCGCAATAGAAATTTTACGATATTGTTGAAGAACAATATTGTTGAAGAACATTGCCTACAATTCTCCCAGCTCTTTTTTTAACAGATTTTAGAATAAATCTTTTCTTATATAATGTATATATCTTAGATAGGAAAAGAGTTTCAGTTAGGGACATCCAAAGTCAGTGATGGCTACGAGTTTCACTGTCAACACAAAGGAACATGGTGTGAATCCACCTGTGTTCCACAGGAGAATAATGGTCAGTCTCCTTCCATTTGATTTACTGCATCTGAAAACCCACATGAGGGTCAACTATGAGTCCGTTCTGACTGGATGGTATACAACAACAACAAGGATTCATGACAGTGAATCCTTATTGTATGTCGGATACCGTACTCATCATCTGTGTGCATTATCTTCTTTACTCCTCAGAACAGTTCTTATTCTTCCACTATTTTATAACTGAAAAAGAAAAATCTTGATACCAGAAAAAGATTCAGAATTTTGGGACCAGCCCTATTTGACTTAAGTTTTATTGCTCTTGAACTTAATGTGCTCTTTCTTCAGCCTTTAAAAATACCTTGTTTGTAAAAATGATTATTATAGTGTGTGTGTGTGTATGTGTGTATAATATATATAAAACTCTTAGGGTATTTTTATTTGTAGATCTACAGTTTAATAAAATTATTTACCATTGGTTAAAAAATGTGCTTATCTATTAGATAAGAATATTCATTTTAAAATTTATATCAGTCTTCTCTGATAAGCAGTATGAATTGAATTTCAGATTATTAGGATGTAAGAAAAAGATTTCTTATAATGTCAAGTAGGTACCATGTTTAGCTCACAACATCAGGAGATAACAAATCCTTGACTCATATATCTAAGGGTGAATGTTTTTATTTAAAATTAAATTTCAAATGAAATGCCTTAAATTATTTTAAGGAAAAAAGTATTTGAAAGAGCAAGGTAAAATTATTTAAACCTTATTTCTTTTTAAAATGTCATTTTTAAAAAGTTACATTAAAATAAAATATACTTGGGTCAAGACTTAACTACTATATTCTGGATCTCCTTTTAAGTAAAAAGTTTTACTTGTCAGCTAATGTTTCTGCGTAAAACTAAGTATGTTCCCTACATAATTGAAAACAAATTTTAGAATGGATTTTTGGTTTTGTTTGTTTTCTACAGGTAGCAAGTTGTTGTGGGGGGAGTTTTTCCCCTCTTTTGATTTATATATATATATATATTACAGATTTTTAAAAATTCTTAATTTAGATAAAAACAAGTGATAAATA